GCTACGGTGTGACAGTTGTTTGTTTCTCCTTGATGAAAACCCACCGCCTTGGTTGACTGTACTTCCCTGTAAGCCAACTGCCCTCCCCCCTTCAATCACTGCTTTCAGAGGCAATAAAGTCATTATTGTTCCAAAATCATGCATTCTTTATTAATTCATCACATAAATAGGGGGAAAATTTGCAAGGTAGCCTGGGAGGGGTGGGTGAGGAGGGAAGCACTGGGTGGGGTGGTGGATGAGGGAGGAAAGGACAAGGCCACACTACAGTTCAAAACTTATTGAATGCCAGCCTTCTGTTGCTTGGGCAATCCTCTGGGATGGAGGGCTGGGTGCCCATAGCCTCCCTCCCTCCCCCCTGAATTCTTGGGCGTTTGAGTGTGGAGGAAATGGAACTTGGGGAGGAGGGCAGGCAGTTATACAGCGGCTGCAGCGGTGGTCTGTGCTCCTGCTGCCTTTCCTGCAGCTCCACCAGACGCTTGAGCATGTCAGTTTGCTCCCCCACTAGCCTCAGCATTGCATCCTGCCTCCTCGCAGCATGCTCCTCCCTCCTCTCATCGCGTTCATTTAACGCCTTCCTGGACTCTGCCATTGTTTGCCTCCACCGATTTTGCTGAGCTCTTTCAGTGTGGGAGGACCGCATGAGCTCTGAGAACATCTCGTCGTGAGTGTTTTTTTTTTTGCCTTCTAATCTGCGCTAGCCTCTGGGACAGAGATGATAGGGGGAGCATAGAAACATTTGCAGCTGCGGGAGGGAAAAAAGGAGAGTAGTACATAAAAAGATGTATTTTAGAGAACAAAGGGAAGACTATTTCACACTGAATCAAGCGATTTACATTACATAGCACATGTGCTTTTGGTACAAGGTCACATTTTGCCTCTTATATTGAATGCCTGCCGGTTTGGTGTGAGACATCACACACGCTCGGCTGGGCAACAGAATTGGGCTTGCAGCAGACATGGTAAGGCAAAGGGTTTCAGCTTCTTCAACCTTCATAACATGTGGGAACGGTTTCAAACAGCAGCGCCCTCCTTTCCCATACCAAGCAAAGCCTGTGGGGTTGGCCATTTAAAAGCAGGGGCTGCGGTTTTAGGATGAATGTGCAGCACAATCCAACCCCTCCCCCCCGACCCAATTCTCTGGGATGATTGCTTCACACACCTACCCCACCCTCCAAACTGCATGGCTAGTATCAGGGAAGATCCTGGTCAGCCAAATGCGAACAGCTCAGCATGAACGGGCCTCCCCCCACCATGTGGCTAACAGTGGGGATGATTTATTTTCAGGCAAAGGCAAACAGCCAAACCCAGGGCCCATTCGCTGCAAGGTTTTGTTCTGCAATGATTCCAGACTACTTGCTACTGGCTTGGCGTGGTAAATTAATCATTAAACACGCTTGCTTTTAAACTCTGTATTATATTTACAAAGGTACACTCACCAGAGGTTCCTTCTCCAGATTCATGGTCCGGGAGCCACCTTGGGAGGGTTGGAAGGGTTTTGGCTCCAGGGTGATGAACAGTTCCTGGCTGCTGGGGAGAAGGGATTATCTCCTTGCCTGCTGTGCGCTATCCTCAACCTCCTCCTCCTCCTCATCATCATCTTCAAACTCCTCCTCCCTGTTGCATGAGACTCTGCCCTTGCAGGTGTCCACGGACAGTGGTGTGGTAGTGGTAGAGGCCACCCCTAGAATTGCATGCAGCTCATCATAGAACCAGCATGTATGGGGCTCTGACCCAGAGCGACCGTTTGCATCCTTTGTTTCTTGGTAGGCTTGCCTCAGCTCCTTAACTTTCACGCAGCACTGCTGTGTGTCCTTGTTGTAGCCTCTGTCCATCATGCCCT